CGCCCGTGCCCCCCGTTCCCGCCCGGCCCCTGGGGCCGCGGTGGGCGCGGGCACAGCCTGGCCCTGCTGCGGGTGACCCTCGGAACGTGCCCGTGTAGCTTATACCCCGAGCTTCCTTAAGAGTCCACGTTGCACCAAAGCTACGGTGCAAATCCCTGGGAACAGTGTCGCGATTGGTTTCTCCAGCAATAACTTGTATCGGTGTAGCACCAGTGACTGAAACTAACGACGCCTCGGATCCCATGAATTGTACTTTATTTCTTTTTATCTATGGAAATGTAATGGGTAGGTAAGGAAGAGTAGGTAAAACTTTAACTACAGGATACTCTATAACAAAAGATAAGGAAATGGCTCAAGAGAGACAAAAACAGCTAAAGCTGCTTGCAAAGCATGAAACACTGGGGCAGGTATGTTGGCATAATTATTTTCATTTATTTTTTTCTCCAGGCTGGAAAAAAAAATCCAGGTTAAAAAAAATAAATCAAAACAATGCCCCTGAGCCTGAATTCACACAGACCCAATCACTGCTCATGACAGAGCAGAACACAATGTCAGCACAACCACAAGATGGAGCAGAGTTAAATCCTCCACCAGAGAGCATCAGAAGCACCCGCACAGACCATGTTCTGACTGAGATGTGTTTCATCCTGTGGCCTTGTAGTACTACAAATAGATGCCTGGACTTCCTCATCAGTTACTGAAGGGGTGCGTGTGTGGAGAGTCTGAAGAAAACGTAATGCAACTGTATACTTGAAGTTTGGTCTCTTGTTAGATGCAAAGAGTGTGTTTCTTCTGCAAACAGAAGATTTTAGCTAGCGATAAGGACTGAGGTCTGCTTAGCACTGAAATCTGAGTTCTCAACTAAGGTTTAAGTTACAGTTCATTTAAACTCCGCATACTGAAGATACAGGAACATCCTCTGCTGAATGTGAAAAGTTTCACAATGTTCTGCTTTGATAATTCATTTCTAATAACAGATTAAAATAATTTTCAGAATTCCAGTTTCAAGTGATGTTCTACAATTAGGTCCCAGGCTAAAGCCCATAAATCAAGAACAAACACAACTCAGTTTATTAGTTTAATAAGTCTACCGTATTACAGACTAATGCAAACCAAAATGACAACAGTCACATAATGCTTAGTGTATCAGACCTTATCTAAAGGAGATTAGTTATCAGAATTATTAGTGATCAAGTAAAGGGATTAAACTCAGTTTTGTAGAAATACCGCCTAAAACTGGATACAGCAGTTTAAACCTAATATACACCTTGCTAGCTGATTTCCGTTTTCAAAAGTAAAGGATGCTACAGTAGACACTGTCCTACTGGAGTGCCTATGTTAATTTTGGTTTTTAAACTGAAAGTCAGATTGTGCAATTCTGAAGAATTTATAGGAATTGCAGCAGGAAAACAGTCGATATTAGCAATACAATACAAAGTGTTATATGAAATATGAAAACTAGTGCTTAATTCAGTATTTAATGAATAATTTTGAACATGAAGACACTGCTTATAAGAACTAAAACAGATCAGATATACCACAATTTTGAAAAGGTAGAAACTTATAAATTCAAAAGTTTAGCGACTCAGGCATAGATCTTAAGCCATCCATGCAAGTTTTAGATAGCTCCTCTCTTAAAAGTTGCTAAAAACAAACAACCCCAACCCTCCTTAGAAGGACCCAATTTTTAGCCACATGCAGCATTAATGCTATTTTTACTCTTCTACTTCAGCACTTGTTTCTTTGAGTGCATTGCTCTCTTTGTGGATAAATGCAGTGTCTTGTGATTCCAGATCTCCCAGCTGTTCCCATGACAAGACACATGGATCGTGATCTTTAACAGCGTCAGACGGCTTACACATCTTCTCCCGAATGCGTTGAGAATATCGCAAGGGAGTTACAATTTTCAGGCCTTTAGCACTGGAGTAATTTGCCTCATGTTGCATCTTCACACTTCAGAAAAGAAAAAAAGCACACCACTAAAAATAGGCACACCATCTTACAGATTACCTCTGTAGCATCTAGAAGAAACAGCAAGTCATGATTCCTATTCACCTCTTTACTAGTCCCATAGCCAAAGGAAATGGGAAACTGGCCCTTTCCCATTCATACAGTTAAAACCAGATGTACAACTCTTCTTGGACAAAATATTTTAACCTGGAGAACCTCCTGAGAAGAGTTACCAAAGATTAAGTCCCCTCCATTCCATCAAGGGGAAACTGCTCTTTCTTCTAAGGAGGCCTAGTGGTTTCTTCAAAGAAACTTTATGACAAAAAAAATAATTTAAATGTTAGTTGTTTTGACCTGAGATTACTACCTAAGCAATCCTAAAAAACTAAGTGTTTGAGAGCTTTTAACTAGGTGTGCACAAGTGCAGTGCCTCCTTGTTTTAACAGGACACAAACATGACTGTTACTGCAGACACTGCAAACTTCCCATCTTACCTCTCCAAGTATGGTGTGGTAGGTGGATTGTGTCTCATTAAATAAGATGTGTCATCCTCCTTCTCAAGAGAATTAACTGCTTGGACTGCATCTTTTACCCCATCCTCATTCAGCTCTTCTGTTCCACTTTTTCCTTTCTTTTTCTTAGATTCTTTAGTCTTGTTCTTTTTCTTCTTTTTTGGCAAGATCTCTTCTCTTGGTTTCAAATCTAAATCAGTTTCTTCTTTTTTGATCACTTCACTGTTAGTCTCTACCTTTATGTCATCACTTTCTGCTTTTTGGTCATCAGAGCCGAGATCCTTGGAAGCCTCCCCAGCCTGCTCTACAGGTGAATTTGGTTCCTTGCTGACTTTCACTGCATCACTTAAATTAGTTTGTATTACAGTTCCCCCTAAAATATTAATATTGAAAAAAGTACAATTGTAATTAGTTATAATTAAAGAGATGTTAGATAGATCTCTGAAATCTTAAAGCTTTACATGAGAATGAAATTTAAGTATGTATTGAGCTTGAGTCTTAGCAATTTAAATTACTAGTTTTAGTCACCTGCAACCTGAAAAATCAGGCTTAGAACATCCTGAGAAGTCATTCTGTTCCTTCTCAAGCACAGCAGCTCTGAGAAAGTACTTTAGTCAGTTTCTGGGATTAAATACTTGGCAGGTTACATTATATTGAATGGGGAATGTATATGGCTAGTTTGCCTCCAACGTTGAAATATTTACTGCCTTTAAATGACACTGTGCCATAACATGCATCTGCTAATGAAGTAGTTTGTGTGTCAAAGGTGCAACTGATTTTTAGCTTTTTGATTACCAGGTAAAATAGCTGAACGACATTGCTCTGATAGAATTTAAGTAGAACGTTTAAGTAGAACGTTTGAATATAAAAGCATCTCTACTACTCATTTTAACATGCCCACAATTGAAAAATATTAGTCAAGGTTGTTTTCAAAGACAGCTGAGTACAAAATGATCACAGAAGCTTCCATAAAATAAAAATTAATATAGATACAAACAGTTTAGACAGCTTGTGTTGCCTGTTAAGCCAGATGTTTAACTAGAATATTGACTTACCATCCTCAGACCTGAAAAGGCTTTCATTATTTTTCATGCTATCTATTAGTGCATGTCGTAGTTCATCTTTAGGCTGGAATAAAAGTTGCATTGTTTTAGAAAAACAATTCCAAAATGAATAAACATTTCAACTTACTTGGTATAACAGTTACAGGGAAAGTGATATAGATCACATGATGCTCATGTTACAAACCCTTTATTTAATCCTGTTCACACGCAAGTCAGGACACACATGAATCCTGTATTTCTGTATTTGGTGCACTAAGGTTGTATTTCACAAAATCACAGAATTGTCATGATTGGAAAAGACCTCTAAGGTCACAGCCCAACTATCAAAACAGAAAAAACCATCATGTCCACTAGATCATGTCCTGAAGAGTCACGTCTATGCAGTTTTTTAATACCTCCAGGGATGGTGACTTAACCACCTCCCTGGGCAGCCCATTCCATTCCCTAACTACTCTTTTGGTAAAGAAATTCTTCCCTAGTATCTAGTCTAAATCTCAGCCAGCACAACTTCAGGCCATTTCCTCTAGCTCTGTCATTATTTATTTAGGAGAAGAGGCCCTGAAATCTTACTGAGAGTAAAGCTCAAGAATTATGTCCATCACTAAACATAAAACTAAATTCTGTTTTGGGTTTCTAGTGATACTAGAAATCTCAGTCCTTAATTTCTTCTTGGAGGAACATCATACGGTATTTTGATGATCCTAAACATTTCATCTTAAAAGTAGTAAGGATCTAGAGTGTTTACAGAGTAAACCAAATTTTTTTTATGTTTAAGTAGGTCATATGGCTCTCCTACTACAAAAGGATTTATTAAAATCAGAAGCAGTTGTATTTTGTATACCATACTCTCGTGCATTTATATTTGTTAATCTCACACACTTCAAGACAAACTGCTCACCATTGCTCCTTCCAAAATGGCCTCCTCAAAGACAGCAATTATCTTTTCAACAGGGCCCATCTGTTCAAGACGCATACAACAGATCCAATATTTTGCAAGCTTTTTTTCCCCAGGAATGCCCTGTGTCAGATCTTCCAACTTCGCACGTATTTCATCACCTTGACATCCCTAAAGTCAACACATGAGCAGAGATTTAAATGCAGAGTTCTATCTTAGAATCAGAGAATCATAGAATGGTTTGAGTTGGAAGAGACCTTTAAGATCATCTAGTTCCAACCCACCTGCACTGGTCCAGACACCTTCCGCTAGATCAGGTTGCTCCAAGACCCATCAAGCCTGGCCTTGAAAACATCCAGGGCTGGGGCTTCCACAGCTTCCCTGGGCAACCTGTTCCAATGTCTTACCACCCTCACACTGAGTAATTTCTTCATAATGTCTAACCCAAATCTCCTCTCTTCCAGTTTTAAGCCATTATCCCTTGTCCTCTTGCTATAAAGCCATTGTAAAAAGTCCCTCCCAAGCTTTCTTGTAGACCCTTCAGATACCGGAAGGCCACTGAAAGGTCTCCCTGGAGCCTTCTTCTCCAGGATGAGACTTGAACTTAAGATGAATTACCTCATAGTTACTCCCATTACATTATAGCTTTTCTACTTTATTACATTACCATTATTGCCTAATCTCATTGGTTAGTCCAGTAAGTGAAACTTAAGAACTTACTTCTTCAGGTGTTGGCAAAAAGCTATGATATTGCTTAATTGGGGAGCAATTAGTCCTCAGATTAGCATCAAATTCACAGATCCAGCACACCTGTAGAACTTGCATGTTACAGGGACCTATATGGTTAGAACATGACAGGCGAAGGACTGAATACCTGTTCAGTTAACTGCAGACATTCTTCAAGAGTCTTGTTGACCTTTTCATTACGTAATACACGCTCTAGAGAATCCCCAGAGGAGAATTCTTGTTCTTCACTTTTAGAGTGGGGTCCCAGAAGTGCAGATATAGGAGGTCTCCTCATAACTTTTCCTCTCGATGCCCTCCATTCATCCAAGCGAGCTCTGTATATAAGAATATTATTAGCTGTAGCAACAGATGTTTTATCATTTTTTACATTGACTGACAGTAACTAGGGTAAGTCATACAAAGATGTACTTGCCAGATAGTCCTTGAGTCTTCTCCCTTTAATCCTAAAAGGAATACAGCTGCCTTTTAGCCCTGCATGGAAATTTCAGAACTATGCATATCACTGTTTGCTTTGAGTCTAGAATCATGGAATTGTCAAGTCCTTTTCTGCCAGGCAGCTTTCAAGCTACTCTTCCCCAAGCCTGTAGTTTTGCAGGGGGTTGTTGTATGTATGTATATGTACAGCTTTGTCAAACAGCGAGATGGGAAAACATCAACAAAGCACATAAACAACGATAAAGAAACTCAGGCTGGCCCAAAGGTACAGCTGGAAGGGAGAATTAAGTATGGATAGCAAGCAAAGATTCCTCACAAACGAAAAGCTCACACTCTCAAGGAAACTAGTGTGATCTTTGCTTCTCAAGAGTTTTGAAACCATAGTCAAGAAAAGGCATTAGCAAGGAAACAACTAATACGATCTATCCTCTTCTATTCCAGATTTCTATTTTTCTGAAGCACTGCATCAAGACATTGAAGTAATACCGTGTGTGATGACTTGAGTCTGGAAATTTTCTGCTTTGCTGCTGCACTACTTAACTGCTCTGCAGCTTTAAACATAAATTCTAACTTCTCTCTTCTCATGAGTGAGAGAAATGCTCCACATTGGTATTAAGAAATACGGAAACACTCTGACTGAAAGTTCTGTACCATCACCACTTGACTAGTCACAGCTCAGCAAGTTACAAGCTGTAACTGTACAACTCAGGAAGTTTAGGCTTCCAAATATATGCTGTATTTTACCCGTATAAAATGTGTAAAATGTCCTCTTTGGTGGACGAATATAAAGCAATAATGTGATGGCAAAGAACTGCACTTGAATCTCTTGATATAAATTTTGGTAACCATACAATACTGTCAGGATCCTCTCTTAACTTTAGCTATATTCTTTAATAGGTCCAGAATTAGATTCTGTATGAGAACTAAGACAAATGTTTCTTGATCAAATTTGAAGTAGTGGAGGAGAGACATTAGGTGACAAATTTAACAATCCAAAGTAATTAAAGAATTTTTCCAATTTGTGTTTAATAAAATCCCAATTATTTTTAATCAGCCTAATGTAAATCTTCATTGTTGTGCTTAGGAAAAAAATAATAATCAAGAAATATTGTAAAGAAATTGTGCCCGATGTATCAACCCAAAAGGTTATCTCTAATGAATGTATTGAAAAAGCTGTTTAGCAGCATTACTGCCACCATGACAATATGGAAGGTTTACAAATTAACACACTGGATATTTAATGTTAGCATCCATATTCTGTCAGGCCCTCCTGTGACCAGTCAAAATGTAGCTTTGATTGCTGTGACTAATAAATAATTATGGTTAATAACATTGCTTTACTTTTTTTTTTTAAAGGAGTGGCATCCATGTGCAATTCACTTACAGGTTGATCTGTCATGCTTAAAGTTGTCACAACACGTAGCCTAAAAAACAAAGAGCTTGAGCAATATACAGTTTATGTTTGTAACTGCACAGGACAAGCCATAAGCCTGAAGAGCTGGTGCAATTAGTCTGAATTCTGATTTCTCAGTATTAAGTCTACAGTTTTAGTCTGCTGCCCTTAGGCATTAAGTCAGACACTCAAATATCTTATTTTTCAGTGCATATATGTCAAGAAATAGAACAGAATAGGTATTGTTGGAAAGAAAGTCTAAATACCTCCCATGATCAAGCTACTCATTAACTGAGTGGTTCAGTTACCTTCTCTCTTCCGCTGACTCTTTTGGCAGAACAGATTTTCTGTTGCCATTAGTTTTAGAATTCTGTCCCAACTTTGTAGCAGGATCAACAGAAATTGTTTTTGCTGAAGCTCCTGGTCTTGCATCTGTACATTTCTTCACTCCTAGTACTCTGCGGTCAGAAATGTTAGAAGCAGCCTTCGTTGGCTGTGGTCCCCATCCACCCACCCTTTTTTGGATTGTTACTTTCTTTAGTGCTACAGCAGATGTCAGTTGCTGTTTCTTCAGATGAGACTGTGAGTTAATAGCAGCTTTGTCAGTTGGTTCACCCTGGAGTGGGAGGATACCATTTGGTTTTACAGAATTCCGGTGGTTTGTGATTTTCATGGTCTTCAGAACTATACCAGAGCTGTCCGTGGACAAAGAACTTGCTGCTCGTTTGGCAGCAGAAGGAAGGAGCTTCTTGTCTGGCAAAGAACTCTCTTCCACCTCACTTTTTGGTGTCTTTCGGAAGGAGTTTATCTTGGATTGGATAACTTTGCCACGGTATGTACCAAGCACTGGTTTCTTTGGAAGGCTGACAGTTGAATTTTGTTTTTCTGCAATCAGTTGCTTCTCTTTTCTGCGTTTTACTTGCAAGAAGGACTTGCTGAGTGACATATGCTGAGATTTTATGTCAGTGGCTTCATGATCTTCAGTACTATAGTTGGTGCCTGGTACAGAATTTGTCAGTGTGATGGTGGAAGAGTTGAAAATAATGTTTTTTTCTGCGGTTTCGCTTGATTGATCCCATGACAGTTTATTAGCATTCTCTTTATTTTCCTGAAATCAAAAGCATATTCATGGATATGTCAGAAGTACACCCACAGTGCAAGTTACATGTTTCCAAAGAGGCTTTCACTCCTCTACAGGACTAAAGGGATTAACAGTTAGTGCCACTTTAAAAGCTTCTACAAAAGTAGTTTATTTATACTGAGTAGAATACTTGCAGAATTCACATTAAAAAAAGTCAAAAAAAGATTATTTAAATTCTGCCTTGGAAGTAAGAAGGCCTAACTTGAGGCCTACACTCTTCTTACAGAGGCAAAATTCTCAAACCAACTGCTGGCTTCTAACTGCCAAAATTATCTTTTAAGAAGAGTCATCAAGTAGAAACTTGTTTTAGGCTGTATATAGTCACAAGTAGTATCTCAACTTGCATACATCATCACTTAATGGCATTACTATTCCTCCACTTAGTGTGGATAACCTACTAACACCAGGTAGCAAGTAAAGCCTTTAACTAGGGCATTAGGATATATTACCAGAAAAGGGAGAATTTTTCTTGCTTCTGAGCGGTAGGATGGTATAATTAGACACATGAGTTTTATATGGCCTTACTAGTCCCTGAAACTCTCAACCATATGCTGTCAGCATAACCCTAGCCCAGAGGCCATGAGAATGGGGACTAAGTCCTTTCCTCCAAAGATGATGCCCTACAGCAATTAATTCAGCATTGTCCAAGTAGCAGCTTATGGAAGACTGAAAGAACGAAAGGCAAGGAAAAAAAAACACAACACGTGAATGGCACATGGAACCCTGCAGAAGCTGATATTCTTCCCCTTGAACATGCCCTTGAATTGTAAGAAAACTGCACTGTGTCTTACTTCCTGGTCTGTCATTCTGGCTTAGAAGTCAGATTTGACAAAGTCAGTAACTAGAGCTTGAGTGAAGGGGCTTCTATTTAAGGAAGCTATGCAGTTTAACTCAAATGTAAAAATCACATGATACATTAACACACAGCAAATTATCTCCCTTCAGGAAATTTCTAAAAACTTTCTTCTCAGTTTTGAATTTTTTCTTCTTAACACTCAGTTTTGAATTTCTAAGATTTTGCTTTCCTCCTCAGATAACACCAAGTCTCTCAAATCTTTTGAAGCCAAATCTTAAAATCATCTAACATGAATGCAGGTTTTGTGTTTTTTCCTCACCTTTCCCTTACAACATGTCTGGACAAAAACCTGTATTTTATTATTTCTAAGCAGTAGAACAATATGCATCTTAATTCTGGAAAAGTGACACAAAATGATATAGTGAAATACACCCTTGAACTCTTGATTAAGTTTTAGCATCTACTTCCTACTACATTAGATTTGCCATCATCACAAGTGAAAAACCACACACATTGAGTTTTGTTAGTTGTTTTTCTTCCAAGCAATAAATAATTCTCTACTCTGGCAGAAAGCCTTGCTCAGATTTTAAATAACTTCCCCGAAAACTGAAAATATATCCAAAAAGTTCTGAGAGTTTCAAGAAAAGTTGTTAAAATTTAATCATTATTTGAGCAATAGTGATATCCTCTTTAAGCTGCTCTCAAGTCAGGTGCAAACTGAATATCAATATGATGTATTGCATACAGTAATGCAACAGTTCTCCAAAATACACACAATAAGCAGCCACTGAGTAAAGCTTTAGCAACTGTACCTCTGCACCTGAAAACTTCTCATGCTCTGGAGGTTGTATAAATTAATTACAGCTTAAGTGAGTGGAATGTTGCAGCCACAGAAACAGTGCTATGAGCATTAGAGTTATCAGTCAAAAACTTACCATTTTTGGCTCTGGAGATGCTGAGAGCTGTATTTTGTCTTGCAGTTTACTGCTAGTTGCACTCCTAGTTCTGCTACTGCTTGAAAAAAAAAAAAAGACATTAAATCATGTTGCAACAAAAAGGAACGTATTTTAAGACTAAGTTCATATGATCTAGGTGACAGTGTGCAGGCTGAGTTCTTTTCTATTCAGCTTGTACTCTTACTTCAGGAAAAAAAAAAAAAAGGGCTAAGCAATGACTGATTGATCAGGGACCAGACTGCAAAACACTGCTCTTGCGCCACAAAGAGCTGATTAAGAGAGGGGGAGAAACGAGAACATGCTTACTGCAGGTGCCATTCTCATGTTTAAGGATGAAACACCAACCTGTCTGGCCTGATACATCAGCTACAGAAGGTCAAGCTTCTAAACACTGCAGTTGAGGGGGAAGAAGGAGCAGCACAGGGAGCTGAAGTTCAGCTACTTCCACCATTAGAGACCAGGCCATTTAAGGCAAGCCTGAACAAGGGTATATCATTCCTACCTCACTGACAGGTTCCAAAACCTGCTGTCAGTCACCAGAGCTGGCATCAGACTACCCAGTAACAAAACCGCCAAGACCAGTATTGTTTCTTAGCAACTATGAAAATGTAGTGACAGCTCAGAAGAAAAACATCCCAGTTTAAAGTTACAAAATCCAAAGTATTCCCCAAATGCTTTATGGTGGATTATATGAATCATGTAGCACTGTTGCATGTGACTGAAAATTAACATTTCAGTTGGCAAATGATATCTTTGCATCAAATGATCTACTGGAAGCTCAGCTGAAAATAAAGGTACATTAGTAAAAGATAAAGATAATTAGCAACATTAAAATGCTGGAGAAAGCAGTCTGCATCATGCTATTACCTTCATGTCACCTATGATAGAGAACTAATGTTAAGATCAGAAGTCATAGAATCATTTAGGTTGGAAAGATCTTTAAGATAATTGAATACAACTGTTAACATAGCACTGCCAAGTCCACTACTTAAACCATGTCCCTAAGCACCATGTCTATGCATCTTTTAATTACCTCCAGGGGTGGTGACTCAACCACTCCCCTGGACAATCTGTTCCAGTCCCTGACAACTCTTTCTGTGAAGACATATCCAATCTAAACCTCCCCTGGTGCAACTTGAGGACATCCTCTCATCCTATTGCTTGTTACGTGGGAGAAGACACCAACACTCAACTCACGACAACCTTCTTTCATGTAGTCAACAGTATGGAACAGTTCTCAAAAGAGAAATATCTGCAAAATCAAAGCATTTGTCAGCCTGACATACATGATGGCTCTAAACAATGACTTAACTGAAGACTATGAAAAGCCCTGGAAATTAGTAGCCAGAGAGGAAGCTGAAAGTAGGGAAAACTAAAGCTAAATTAAGAGTTTTGCTACAATGAACCTAATTGACACTGATTCTCTAACACAAGATAGCTTTCTACAACATGAAAGCACAGGTCTTTTCCTACTACACAGAGCAAGTCTTTGACAGATTATATTTATCCTTGTCATTTATGTGCATTTTACATTCAAAAGTAATTTTTCGGTTAGATTTCTGCTACCAAAATAGTTCTGTGTTTTTGAACGCAGGACCACGCCTCTTTTGAGTACACAAAATGGCAAGCCTTCCCATTTAGATGGGAACAAATTTCAGACTGAAATTCATTGTTAGCAAAAACATTGCAACACCATAAGCTAACATTAGAGCTAAAACTCTCTATACTTCTTCACACCACTGTCTTCTCTAGAGAAAATTCTGTTGCTTACTGCATTTCATACTAAATTTCCAGATCTTAGACAACAGCAAGAAGATTTAAATTCAAGTCAATAAAAAGTAGCACTACTAATTGGTGACAGGTGCCCACATTCTCTTTGCAGAACAGTATGCCTACCTGCTGGCCATCACATTGGCTGGGTTTTATCACAGCATATTTGCTTTTAGCAGAAAATCATGAATTAGTAACTACAGAAACACAATTAAGGTATCCTGTCCTGTCTCAGTCTTTAGAGAAGCAAACAATATACTTCATTAATTGCATCTATCATGCAATTGGTTAACGGTAACTTATGGTATTTGCTGACAATGAAGAACTTTAGGAAATTCACCTGGTCACCAGTTTCATTCCATGGTTTCAGCTTTTGGTTGAGGTTCTCTGTAAGAACTGCTATCTATATCTTTCCCACCTACCATGGACCTTTCAAAGGGAATGCAAGCCATAGCAAAATACTACCTGATTGATGTCTGGTTTTCTTGAATGGGCACACCAGAAAAGGTCTTTTTTCTTGACAGATATTCTTCAACTTTCTGTCTTCTTTGTTCTAGGGAGTTAAAAAAAAACAGAACTTATTACACTTTCAGCAAGCACATATTTCAGTTATGACAGTAGCAACTTAAGTATAGCACACATGAAAAACATCATGCATGTGAACTCAACTGACCATTTGTAAAATCATTTGTTTCTCTTCAGTTGCCACCTGGGCATCTGCACAAATGTTGTACTAATGGGTGTGTTAATATCAGCACAAAGTGATCCTGAAAAGGTCTTAAACCAGCTGTCACTGTCTTAATAGAATCACTGAATCATTAAGGTTGGAAGGGACCTTAAAGATTATCTAGTTCCAACTCTCCTGCCATGAGCAGGGAACCCTACCTCCAGACCAGGTTGCACAAAACCTCATCCAACCTGGCATTAAAAACCTCCAGGGATGGACCATCAGCAACCTCCCTAGGCAACCCATTCCAGTTCCTCACCACCCTTATAGTGAAGAATTTCCTCTTAATATCTAACCTAAATCTCCCCTCTCTCAGTTTAAAACCATCATCCCTTGTCCTATCACTATCTTCTCTGGTGAAAAGCCCTTCCTGAGCTTTCCTGTAGGCTCACTTCAGGTACTAGAAGGCTGCTCTAAGGTCTCCCCAGAGCCTTCTCTTCTGTAGGCTGGACAGACCCAATTTTCTTAGCTTGTATTCATAGCTCCAGCCCTTTGATCATCTTGGTGGCCTGACCCTCTCCAACAGGTCTGTATCTTTCTTGTGCTGAGGACGCCAGAACTGTGCACAGCACTCCAGGTAGGCTCTCACCAGAGCAGAGTAGAGGGGCAGAATCACCTCCCTGGCCCTGCTGGCCACACTTCTTTTGATACAGCCCAGGATGCAGTTGCTCTCTAGGCTCCAGCTCACACTGGCAGGTCATGTCAAGCTTCTCATCTACTGTCACCCTCAAGTCCTTCTCCTCAGGACTGCTCTCTAGCCATTCTCCCCCCAGCCTGTATTCGTGCCTGGGGTTGTGCCAACCCAGGTGCAGGACCCTGCACTTGGCCTTGTTGAACTTCATGAGGTTGGCACTGGCCCACCTCTCCAGCCTGCCAAGGTCCCTCTGGATGGCATCCCTTCCCTCTTGAGTGTCAAACACACCACACAGCTTGGTATCACCCATAAACTTGCTGAGGATACACTCAATCCCACTGTCCATGTCCTCAACAAAGATGTTAAACGACATAGAAAGTCATTCCAGAACAGGACACTTTCCTATGTTTCTGCTGGTTGCAGAGACTTACATTCTTCACAGGACCATATTGTTGATCTTTTTCAGAGCCGTTTCCTTAGTCCTGTAGGGAACTAATGAGATTGGCTTGCTGGAAGCAGCTGGGATAAGATGATCCTGCCACCCAAAGCAAGTTCAAGCATCCACACAGCCAGTCTAGACAGTTTCTACAGACTACAACTGTTTCACATACAGTAGGATGTGAAAGCAAGAAGCTAAAGCATCATCTTTAACTCAGAAAAGCAATTCCTTTATGGCATTCGGGTAAAAAATTGTCACCCCACACAACGGATTAGTTACCCTCTGATCCTCCTCAGAGTATGGGGGCATTGAAAGAGGCAAGTTCTTCCGCAGTGGCACAGCGGAGCCTGAGACACAGAGCCAGCAGCGCGGGCTGGGACTCGGGCTCCCTGCAACACTGCCTTCCACCGAGAAGACGATGCTTTTTCAGCCCAGCTGCCCGAGCCGCCGGGCGCTGCCCGACAGCTGCTTCTGAAGAGGCCAGACACCTGCCCGGAGCGTCCTAGGGCCTCGCAGGCACCTCCGGCCTCAGACAATCTGGCCTCACAAGAGAAATACCGTTAACCTAACGCGCAGAAGCCCAACCGGAGGGTGACGCCTCAAGCCCTAAGGCGCTCGCCCCGGCCTCTCGCTCCCCCCGCGGCCTCCGGAGCCAGGCGGGGCGGTGAGGGCAGCCCCGGCCGTGGGGCTCCTTACCTCGGTAGGCGGGCTCGGACCTG